CTAAAGGAGAGTGAGCTGGGGTATTTGTGTACCAACTCCTATCAGTATTTATCTTGGGGCTCTGGGGTGTAGTTGTGGAGGAGAGAGAGTGTTCATTTTCTGGCATTTCCAGCCTGTTGCATTTATAGACCAGCTGAGCTCGAGTCCAGAAAAAGTCCCCAAAGAAATAAAAATACTGGTGGTTTACCTTCTAGTCAGAGTAAACTGAAATGGTAAGGTAAATGGTTATGAGTAGAAACTTGGCAGAGTACATTCACCTCCTGCACTGCTCAGATCCACTCCTGTCTTGCTACAGATGTTTCAAGATGGTGGCCATAGGCGTGAACTGAGGGAGAGACATCAATAAAACAGATGACATGGGCCATCTGTTTCTGAAATTTATTTTTGTTTTCTAATGCCAAATTTGCTGTTGTATCTATCTGACATTATGACTTTTTGTGCCTGGCAATACTTAGCTCTAGTCATATCATGGCCTATGGTTAAACACTCAGTCTCTATGCAAGCCCAGCAGCTTGCCCAGCAGCTCCTGGCTCTAGAAACATTGCATTGCAATTCTTCTAGTGGCGCTTGCCAGAGGCTCCATGTGGTGCCATTATCTACCATGGATACCTCCAGCACCATGGGTTCTGCCAACTTAGATGATCCAATTAGTAGAGTCCCTGTACCATAGCCTGAATCAGCTTCAGAGCCTTCTATTGCTTTAGATCCCACTTGAAATTGGAAGTCTAACAAGTCATTTGACAAATCAGTCAAAGAAGTATTCCAGGTATGGTATGTGTTGTCCCCAAAATCTGAAGAGCTCTACAGTGTCCTGAGAGAAGTACAATAACTTGTCCTTTGCTTTTCAGTTACTTTTGTCTTTCATCCACCCAAGTGTAAGCTATTCTATTGTCTTCTATGCTATGCTACCTGCCACAGGTCTTTCTGTCTATAGCACATTGGACATCAATCTAAGGTATCTTCATTCTGCTCACCATATTTCAATCTGTCCCAAACCACCTCACATAGCTTTGTCTGTGTCTTGCCATCACTCTTGTTGGTACCGATGCTTGCATGGCTTCCTGTTCCAGTACCTGAGCTCCCTAAATCCTGTACCCAAGTACTGTTGTCTGTTGGATCTACCAACTTGCCCCACCATAGATTTTCCCTCTCCAGTGCACCAGGTGTCTGCTGTGTCCCTCCCAGGGAGTCCAGTGCCTATAGCCAATCTATCTTATGGTCCACTTTGAGTTTGCTAAGCTGCTACTGCCAATATTCTGGTCACTTTTTTTCTCTGAATTTTGCCTAGAATGCTGTTGGTCTTCAACAATTCTGAGTTAACATTCTCCTGAGTCCCTCTGCTCCAGGGTACACGAAGTTGTGGCAGTAATATAAGATCATCAGAGTGATTACATTGGGCCCACCCAGATAATCCAGGATAATCTCATTTTAAAGTCAGCTGATTAGCAACCTTAATTCCATGCACACCTAATTCTCCCTTATCAGGTACCATACCATATGCAGCAGTAATATAAGATCATCAGAGCTAGAAAGAAACTTGCCCAGATAAAAGCTCTGCTGTATCTACCATGTCCTAAACCCAGATATCAAAAAGGCCAAAATAAACCCTCAAAGATTATTATCTCAAGGTATAAATACTATTTGTGTGTCATTTACCTTATTCCCAAGAATCACTAATGCCACAATAAATGATTATTATCTTCAAAGGTCAGTTTCAAAGAACGTGAAACTTTTAAACGTCGAGTCAATTTTTCTGGGTTGTGTGTGTGTCAACATTTTTTCCTATTTGCAAGTTCATTTCCTTTGTGGGTTATATTTCCTCCCTTCCTCCCTCCCTCCCTCCCTTCCTCTCTCCTTCCTTTCTTTTCTTTCTTCCTTGAAAACTATTTCTATTTGATGTAACCAACCCTAAGTTTTCAAGGAAGTACTAAAATCTCCACACACACAAAAAAGTGATTATTGCTGTCTCTCCCCACTTTGTATTTCATAGTAATCACCAGAAAGAAGAAACACACAGACATTTTCTTTGGGTTACTTGGTAGGCATAGCCCAAGATCTCTTTGTGTAGGAGATAGTTCTACCTAAATTCTCAGAGGCCATCGTGTTACTTGGCTTTCTGTCTGGACCTGGTTGGATCTAGTAATTTCTCTCTCTCTTTTTTGAACCTCTCTGGTGTTTACCTTATGTCAAAATGTGATTAAAGCAGAGGATGTAACAGAAGGGAGACTGAAGGTGCCTTGAGAGCCTTTCCCTGGGGGCTCATTCTCCAAGTTTCCCAGCACTAACATCCCTGCTACAGGACATCTTTCCTATGGGAATCAAGAGAAAAATTGGGCAGTTAAGCAAGTCTGATGGATGTTTTGAACTGGAAATTATAACATCTTCTTCCTATCCCCTCAGGTTCTCTCCTTGGCTAGTTATACTACTAAATTCATAGATTCAGGGCTGGTAGATGGGAGTGACAGTATGAGCATGGAGCTTTTCTTTTTGATGCCCAATAAATTTCTAGGACCTTGGAAGCTGATATTTAGGTACCCTAAAGAGAGAATCTCAGGGAACATTTACTTACCAAACTCTGGATCATAACTGCAGGCAAGGTCAGTACTGGGGATACAATGGGTATGTTTTCTCAGCATATATGAGTTTATATGTGTGTGTGTAAGAGGAAGAATCAGGAAGCTGATTCTGGAATGGAGAAGAGAGAATAAAAAAGAGAAAATGAGAGAGGGTGGGGAGACATGGAGTGACAGAAGAACAGAGAGACAGAAACAAAGAGAATGAGAAGTGATAGAGAAGGAAGGAGAAAATGACAGAGAAAGATAAAGTGAAGGGTCATACAGAAAGAGAAAGAAACTAAAAACGCCAAAAATGAACCGAGAGATAAAGAGATATGGGGAAGAAGTCTTTGGAGGAATTTCCACTTGCTTTAGATCCTGACATAGTCCAGTTGATGAATGTGGGAGAGGGTGTTTTAGAGTCATCTTTGTGATTAATGACAAATGCCTCTAATGAGATAATAACCTCATATCCTTACATGTTAGGTAGGCATTAGCTTTGTGAAGCTATTGCTTCATTTTGTTGAATACCAGGTGGAAGCTGGGAAGGACACATGAATTTTGTTACATACTGGTACCCAGATAACCAGAGTATTTGGATATTACTGCAATATTGGTGTATCAGTTTCCTATTACTGCTCTAACAGATTACCACAAATGCAGTGGCTTCAAAAACCCACACATTTATTACCCTACAGTTCTGGAGGTCAGAAGTCTGAAATGCTGGCATTCCTTAGTGAGGCTCTAGGGGAGAATTTGTTTCCTTGCCTTGTCCAGTTTGCGTGTTTTGTTTATTTATTTATGTGTTTATGTATTTTTGTCCAGTTTTTAGAGGCCATTTTCATTCCTTGGCTCATGACCCCATTCCCCATTTTCTATGCCAGTGGCATAACATTATAAAATCACTCCCTGACTGATTCTTCTGCTTCCCTCTTCTACGTTTAAGGATATGTGATTACATTGGGCCCACTCATATAACCCAGGATAATCTCATTTCAGAGTTAGCTGATTAGAAACCTTAATTCCATGCACACCTAATTCTCCCTTATCATGTACCATACCATGTCTCCAAGTTCTAGGCATTAGGATGTGGACATCTCTGGGGGTTATTATTTCTGCTTACCACAACTGACTAGCAGGGCTTGTAAGATGACAGGAACAACCAAGAGGGATATAAATACTTGGGATATGAGCTAAAAACTTACTTTTTTGGCATCTTTTGACAATAGTCCTAATTTTTCATTACAGGATGTTATTATGTTGCATAGGGAGGAAAGGAAGCATATTCAAAAATATATACTGTGTATATAATTTAAAATGCTGTTGCAAAACACAACCCTCTATGTGTTGACAGCAGAAAATAAACTATAAATAAATTTGCATGAAATACTTGCTGGGAGTCAGCCTGATCTTTGCTTTCTCAACATGACATGAAATCCCAGGCAACCCACAATCACCAAGGAGAAGAAGCCTAAGTGATGTAAATGAAAATGTGTATTTTTTTTAACTGTTTATTTATTTTTGACAGAGAGAGGCAGAGAAAAGGGGCAGAGAGAGAGAGAGAGGGACACAGAGCGTCCAAAGTGGGCTCTGCGCTGACAGCAGAGAGCCTGATGTGATCTCAAACTCATGAACCGAACTATGAGATCATAACCTGAGCTGAAGTCAGACACTCAACCAACTGAGCCATGCAAGTGACCCTGAAAATGTGTCTTTCCAACGAAGTTGGAACAGAGAAGTCAGCAAAAGTGAGAGAGGTGGGAGTAAGGGAGAAGTTGGAAATGTGGGAGAGACACAGATTTTTCAGGATCTTTAAGCCATATTAAAGTTGTTACACTTCAAATTTTTAAACAGGGGAAGAAGTCATTTAAGTTTTAAAGAAGAACTACAGGTTTTTAAGAAAAAAATTTCTCTTCAGTGCAGAAGGGAAATGCATCAACATAATTCAGAGTCTCTTAAGAACCCTCTACTGAATTGATATAAACAAAATATATGTATACTGATGAATGTCCTTTAATTAAAACAATGCTAATCTTTGTGTCCATTTATATGAAAAGTTCACCTCCCATCTGAAATTTAACAACGGGTGGTGAAGTCAAATCTTCTGAAGTTTGCTGTGCTGTGGTTGAGGATTTGGAATACTCAGCACAGAGCATTCTTGGGGCAATAACATGGCTGACACATCATACTCCATGGTCTGGTCCTCAGTGTCACAGATGCAAGAATTCTGGTTTGTAGGTGAACCAAGAAAAACTGGCTCCCAATAACAGTTCTTCAACAATTTTACTAATTCCTTTATGTGCCAACATAAAAGAAAATATGTCAGAAACAGGTTAAGTTTCCCACTTTCCAAAACACACATATTTTTCATATGACTACTAAAAATGATTATTTCAGAGTCCTTAATATTTTCAACCATGCTTCATTCCCAGCAGAGGAAAGAGTATCATGAGGAGGGAGAACCAGAGCAGCGTGACCGAGTTCCTCCTCCTGGGGCTCCCCATCCGGCCAGAGCAGCAGGCCATGTTCTTCGCCCTGTTCCTGGGCATGTACCTGACCACAGTGCTGGGGAACCTGCTCGTCATCCTGCTCATCAGGCTGGACTCTCACCTCCACACCCCTATGTACTTCTTCCTCAGCCACTTGGCCTTCACTGATGTCTCCTTCTCATCTGTCACTGTCCCAAAAATGTTGATGGACATGCATGCTAAGTACAAATCCATCCCCTATGAAGGGTGTATTTCACAAATGTATTTTTTTATATTTTTTACTGACCTGGACAGCTTCCTTATTACATCAATGGCATATGATCGCTATGCGGCTATATGTCACCCTCTTCATTATACCACCATCATGAGGGAAGAGCTGTGTGCCTTACTAGTGGCTATATCTTGGATCCTGTCCTGTGCCAGCTCTCTTTCCCACACCCTTCTCCTCACCCAGTTATCCTTCTGTGCTGACAATGCCATCCCCCATTTCTTCTGTGACCTTGGTGCTCTGCTTAAGATATCCTGTTCAGGCATCTTCCTCAATGAGTTGGTCATGTTCACAGTAGGGGTGGTGGTCATTACCCTGCCATTTATATGTATTCTGGTATCTTACGGTTACATTGGGGCCACCATCATGAAAGGTCCTTCCACCAAGGGGATCTGCAAAGCACTGTCCACGTGTGGCTCCCACCTTTCTATAGTGTCTCTGTATTATGGGGCAATATTTGGGCAGTATCTTTTCCCCAAATTAAGCAATTTCATTGACAATGACATCATTGTGGCTCTCATGTACACAGTGGTCACACCCATGTTGAACCCCTTTATCTACAGCCTTAGGAACAGGGACATGAAAGAAGCCCTGGGGAAACTCTTCAGTAGGGCAACATCTTTATCACGGTGATTTTGCGACATTTATTTATTTATTTATTAAAAAATTTTTTAACATCTATTTATTACTGAGAGAAAGAGAGAGAGAGAGAGAGAGAGAGAGCATGAGGAGGGGAGGGGCAGAGAGAGAGGGAAACACAGAATCCAAAGCGGGATCCAGGCTCTGAGCTGTCAGCACAGAGCCCGACTCAGGGCTCAAACCCACAAACAGCGAGGTCGTGACCTGAGCCGAAGTCAGACGCCCAACCAATTGAGTCACCCAGGCGCCCCAGTGTGACATTTATTTAAATCGGAACCTCCTTTTGGTTGATCTTGTGTATTTGATTTTCCATTAGAATATTTCTCAAAACTTGAATGTTTCAAACCCTAAGACAAACGGTAACATGTTGATATACTTGGTAAATATTTACTGACCAGAATTTCATTCCCTTATTAACAATGCTCTCCTTTATAAATAACTTTTGATCAGCAAATACTAGGTTAGTTTTACTACTTATTTCTGCAACTTGGGGGGATTCATAATACAATGACATACGGTTGCACTATCCCTTGTTTAGGAGATTTTGGAAGCCTTATATTTTGGGCCTATAATCTCAGGCTTTAACACACCCTAGAATCTAAAGAATTAGATATATCATTTCACTATACTCTCTTATGTATCCTAAACAGGTTTTATTTCCATCTTTATGGATCTATTGTAATCAAAGTATCCAAACTGCTTGTCACTTGAATAAGAGGAAGTGTATTACTCTCTGTCCATGGTATAAAATGTTACAGTAACCACTCTGCAGATGGAGGGCCCTGTTGTAAACCAAGACTTGCCAGCTCCCCTTTGCCAGTACTGTGTGATAGTTGCTGCTTAGCCCCCATATACAATCATTAATGAAAGCATGCTTGATGCTGGCCTCCTGTGTAAATATAGCCAAATTATAGTGCATAGACTCTGAAAGTGTTATTGCTTTCCTACAAATGCCACTCCAGATTTAGCACTGACTATCCATGGACATTCTACCTTCCCAGGTGAAGAATAAAAGTAAAGCTTGTCAAACTTGAGCATGCATTCCTGTCACGGGAATAAAAGGTACAGCATAAGGAATACAGTCAATGGTACTGTAAGAGTGTTGTACGCCAATAGGTGGTATCTACACTTGTGGTGAGCACAGCATGACGTATAGGGAAGTTGAATCACTTTTGTATACCTGAAATTAATGTGACATTGTGTGTCAACTGTACTCAAATTTAAAAAAAAATCCTGAAGGGTTGTTAAAACACAGGTTCCTGGAATCTACCACCATGAGTTCCAATTCAGTAGTTCTGGGATGGGACCGCCAAGTTTTCATTTCTCATAAGTTTCCATATGATGCGGATGCTGCAGATCTGTGAACTACAATTTGAAGACAAGTGCTGTAAAGACTTAAATCATGAAAGTTGTGGTAGTCTACAACATCCCAAGCTATGACCTAACTAGGGGAAACAAATCTGGCAGGCAAGGGTCAGTGAAGAGGTCTCTCCACATCTCCTTTTGGGCTTACATCCTGATATTTTTCCTAAGGACAGTGTTTCTTCAAAGTCTGCCCTTAGAACCATCTGTGTTAGAATAACCTGGCCCCAGATCTCATGGATGAGCATCTCTGGGGATGGAGCTGGGATCCGCCTCTTTAAAAACTCCCAGGTGATTCTGCTGAACATCAAAGTTTAGGGACACTGACTAGGGCTTCTGTCCTGGAGGGAGTAAGAAGAGTACTGAGCAATTAATACATTTTTAATGCATGTCTCTAATCAAGAGCTTTGTGCCCTGTCCCCTTGGGCTCTTTGCCTGGTGAGTACAGTGGAGTCTTCACATCTCCACTTCTGAAGCTGGTGAATTGAGCAGAGTAAGCTCCAGGCTTATGATTTTGCTTTGTGTCAGTGAGAGGGTTAGGATCACAGAAGTTGTAGGCTAAATCTGGTCTCTAGGTGTCCTGCAGAGAAGCTGAGAAACCAAGTCCACACTCCCAGGAGCCAGAGGACTTGAGCATAAAGTTCAGAGCAGAACTGGGTATCTGTCATCAGGGGCAGGTGTGTGTGTGTGTGTGTGTGTGTGTGTGTGTGTGTGTGTGTGTTGTGGTGTGTGTGTGTGTGCATGCATGCACATAGACACAGGTGCTCATCACTTCTCAGTGCTCTCACTGAACCCACTTTTTATTACTAGTTCCTAAAGAGAGGGATACCACAATCACCACTGGCCACTGACTCTTGGACCTTTAACCCTGAACCTTGGGGAAATGAGGAACAGAATCAGCTGGCTGTGTAAGATTAGTGGGCACATCCCCAGATTCAAGCTGGGGGCCCCATCTCATCATTCAAGTTCTAGCTGTCAGAATCTTAGTTCTTATTTGCTTAGTGTTAATGGTGCTTAGTTCATAGTTGTTCTTAGTGCATGCAGTGTCAACCAGCCCTTCCCAATGCTTCTCTCCAAAGTCCCTGATCACCACCTCCCCTTTAGACAGCACTGCTGTTTCCACTTAGAAGTATATTTGAAAGGTAACTTTTGCCTAGAGAGCTTTGGTTCCTCTTTTCATTCACACAGCACCTGTATTACAGCTCTTCGTTAGAAGTTGATGATTTCCTCCCTGAAATCCCTAGTATAGTCTCATACATTCACTGAATGTGTCAAATCTTGGGCCCAGGAAAGATTTTCTACCTCAATTACATTTACTGTGTTCCACTGAAGATAAGACCCTGAGTTTCTTCACTAGAGTTCTTTGCATTTTATATGGAACAGGAGCAACACAGCCACATGTAGGACCCCTTGTTTAATTCTTTTTGACTCAGGGACTAGTATCCCAATTTTAGGAAGGAAAACCTGAGACTCCAACAGGTACAATGCCTTGTCCAAAGACATATATCTGACAAATGGTGGAAAGGTGAGTTTAATCCACTCTGTCTGGTTCCAAAGCCTATGCTTTGCCTTCGACAGCACACAGCCTCACTGTCAAAGAAATATCAGTTCTCAGTAAGTGGTGGTTGAGGTATTATTGACCAGAAGGCTGAGTGCGGTGGAGTAAGAGTCCATATATGATCTTTATAAAAGGTTTATGCAGAAAAAAAGATATATTATCAAATTGTATCCAAGGAATTTTTATTAAAATACCAAATCTCATAGACTAGATAAATTTACTAGTTCAGAAAGGAGTAGCCCTATTTATAAAGCATGAGGGAAAGCAGAGAGAATGGAGGGAAGGTGGAAGAAGTCCAGAAGTGTGGGATAGTGGAGGTTTCATTTTCTACCAGGCAGATGTAGTTGGCCCCTTGCCTGTATTCCCAACTTCATCATTGTGTCTATGGCCTTTGCCTGCATCAGGTCATAATCCCACAATGAAGTGGCTTTGTGGCACCTGAACTCTGCTCAATATCTGCCTATTGAGGGGAGGGAGCAGTCAGGAGGGAGAAATAAAGGGGTCTCATGACATGGAGGGCAGGAAACTAACATTGATTTGTGCCAACAATCTGCATGGTGTTTCACCAATATTATCTTATTAATATTCACAATTTTCTCATGACTGAGGCTCATAGTCATATCTCCAATTAAAAAAAATTTTTAATGTTTATTTATTTTTGAGAGAGAGAGAGAGAGAGAGAGAGAGAGAGAGAGAGAGAGAGACAGTGAGAGCACGAGCAGGGGAAGGGCAGAGAGAGAGGGAGACACAGAATCCAAAGTAGGCTTCAGGCTCTGACCTGTCAAAACAGAGCCCACCCTATGTGGACCTTAAACTCACAGACTGTGAGATCATGACCTGAACTGAAAGCTGGACGCTTAACCAACTGAGCCACCCAGGCGCCCCATCATATCTCCAATTTAGAGATAAGAAAATTGAGACTCAAAATGGGTCACTTGCCCAGAACTCACAAACATGAAATAGTATTGCCAGAATGTGAATCTATTTCTAATTGCATTGCTTGTCTGATACACCACACTGCACTCAGACATGGGGCTCTATCTTTAACATCATAGCCAACAGTCCAAAATGCTGGAGTGAGCAGACACAGATTAGGAGCCTGGGCCAGGCACTCTTCTCTACTGGCCCACCTAGAACTCTCTTGTGTTGGCAGCTTTTCAGTAAGTTTAAAAAAGAAGATAGTATACCCAGATGGAGTAGTAGTATGCTCAATTCATCAGCCTAAAGAAGCAAGGGATTTTAAACCCACCTGTATAAAGCTCTTCTGAATTTTTCTTTCAGTTAACAACTACTATAATGCAATCCTAACATCCTGCATTTACATACTGTATGTAGGCAGATATAGGCATTTGACATTGATTTTTGTCTTAAAGGAACTTTTAATTAAGACACAGTGAGGTCATAAATATCTTTTCCTACTTACTTTGCAGGATTTGGTAATTTAGGCTTTAGACTATTTTAATGGGTAAATAGCAGTGGTTGAGGGAGAACACAAATAGATTTTGTAAGAAACAAAACCTCCTGGACATGTGTAGAATTTTTACAGGGCTGATTATCCAGAACTGTAGTTCAAGATGCCAAGAGCCCAAATGAGGAAGCTAAAGAAAGGAGCAGGGGGCATATCATGGCGCCTCTTTGACCTCTCTTGATAACAGCTCTTTCTCTCTTTTTTTTTTAAATATTTATTTATTTATTCGGGGGGAGAGTGCAAGTGGGGGAGGGGCAAAGAGAGGGGGACAGAGGATCCAAAGCAGGCTCTGCGCTGACAGGCTGACAGCAGTGAGCCCGATGTGGGGCTCTAACTCATGAACCGCGAGGTAATGACCTGAGCTGAAGTCAGACGCTCAACTGACCGAGCCACCCAGGTGCCCAATAACAGCTGTTTCTATTATGAATTGTGTATTTTCATCGTGTCATGCAAGCTCATTGAATCATGAAGAAATTGGAAAATGATCTAAAGAAGTCCTGATAAATGTAATTCCTAGCAATAAATATATAACTGTCAGCAATATTTTTGCATTTTTAAACAGTGCTCTTGCAAGACGGAGCTCTGACAATTTCTGAGTTCAATCGA